TAATAGAAATTGGTTTATTTCGATTTTCTTTATGAATCCTTCACTTTGACCCATGTTTCATGAGCAACCAACTCGGCAACGGCGGCAGAATGCGTCACCTATTTTCGTGTACAATGTTTGATCTATAAATAAGTCTAGAAAAACACGTTGTATGGATACCGGGTGGTATAATTAACTTCTCTTAGTATTTATCTTTAATATTAATTCATTATAACTAGTGTCAATTCCTTCAAAGAACCATGATTTAAAAAAAAAATAGTGACTGACAAAATAAGACACGTAGAGTGATTTATTGCTAAAAGTCACTGAAACAACATAAGAATACGGTCCACTTTGTGTTCCATAGAAATTTTCTGCTGACACGGAATCCGCTAGTTGATCACGTGACTTCATTCGTTGGAATATAATCTAGCAGACGACACTTGGAATTCCAATTACCGCTTGTGATTATAAGGAAATTCGGCCGATAAAAAATAGTATCCTTTAGTAATAAGTGAAATCCGCCATTTTGTATTTTGTCAAAGTATACATTATTACATTTTACCTTGCTTGAAACTACTTAATTCATTTTACTAGCTGATATTGTAGAGAAAACCCATGTTTATTTAACAAACTAATGCGGAGGTCGCGCAAGGTCGCTCATGTAAATTTTTAATCCTTTCCGGAAATCCACGAATAATAGGTTTCCACGAAATTAGGTTACTTGACTGTACTAAATCTCCAGTGACAAACCGGAAGACACGTATTTTATACACTCCACACAGAAGAATAAAATAAAAAGGGATAATTCAAATGGACCTAATGAAGATGAAAATCATTAACAAAATGCGGCAGTATTTATTATACATCTCTTTGTAACCGGTACTTATAATGAGGCCAGGAGATAACACATAATTTTACTATAAATCTGACTTACAAAATCAATCTGCAAAAACAAATATCACAGCCTGAAAAAAAAATGATAATCCATGATCAACATTTACAAAAACCGAAAACATGAATTATTACAACAAAATCGTACATTTTGTCTTCAAGTCAAATCGCCCACCTAAAGTTGTCACAACGACCAATACAGACTACTGCAGCCAGTGATTTAAAACCACAATCGTTAAGGTTAGTTTCTTGTATACATCGCCATGACGTCCACATGGCAAAACATCAACGCAAAAGGGGTTAGGCCTAATTCAAATGAGTTAATGATATAAAATATCAATAAACAAATGGAACCCAATAAATATTATACATCTAATGGCTAAAAATATTGCCTAGTAAATCAAACATAAGTTTAGAATAAATCACACTTACTTAATCTAACTGTAGCAACTGGTATCACAACCTGAAACAAAATATAATAACCCTTAACCAATTTTTACCAACGAAAACGGGCATCTTCTCTGACAGTCAAATCGCCCAACCCCTTACCTGATCAACATTGCTGCATCGGCAAAGAATAGACTAGAGGCAAACGCGATTTATTTCATATTTCGAACTCCCATCTGTTGTAAAAATAAGTATATAGACTTCTACTTTTGCTACAAGCTTAAGCATTCCCAATGATTCATAAATAAAAAAAAAACACCCACACACTTCGATACGGTCCGGTAAGAATGGACATCGTCATCTTCTATCATTATCATTTTGCTACAAAACCATAAACCTTCAGACAACCGTTACTAATTAGAATCCAGAACACATATATAAATATACAACATAATACAACACTTACCTGTCAATGGTCAAAATGTAAACAACAAAAAATCTCAACGATAATCTCCACTGAAAAATTTCCTAAGAATATTCAAGACAAAAAAAACTACACGTGTTTAGTCTCGATCAACCAAATTCCATAAAAATTGAAACAAAACTAAGACTGGATATAACAGACGAATATTCGCCATGTCCCTTTTTGATAAATTTCAAAGCCGATCAATTAAGTAAACATGTTTTTAGTAGCCACTCGATAAAAATTAATATCATTTTACTCACAAATCAACTTTTACATACGAAATTAAAACCCGAAAAATAAAAATATAAAAATACACGACCAACATTTACGCAAACCGGAACCTAATTACAAACGAAACGTACATTTCACCTTCATTAAAATCGCCCCGCTACGCTAGTCATATCGACCTTCCTACATAATTATAACATATCGAACAAAATGCAACCGAGCGATGGACTTTCCATAGCATTTAAAAAATGTTCCGATTCTTGAAAAAGGTGGTCCGACTTGTCTCTATAAAAAATAATCTTTGGTCCAACTTGTCACATTTCCTTTATTGTACTTATCTCCCTTATAACATTAAATTCCGACAAGCAGTCATCATTGATAAAAACTTGAAATGGGCTAACACATCCCGGTTGCATTTACTTATTGTTTACATTTTCAAAGAAGGAAATTTCTCAAGTTTGAAAAATGTGATACTTAGATCACCAGAGGTTTAGATCCACGTGCATTCTGATAAACATTTAATGCAATAATATGTTGTAATAGTATTTTAGCTGATATCAATTAAATCTCCCTATATCAGCTATTCTTTATAACATTAAACACATCCAAAATGCAAGATCTGGACTAATTCTAAATTCGTTGGTAGAAATGTATAAAGTTTGTTTTTATCTCCAACACCCAAGTTAACTGCAAAAAAAAACAACAAAAAAAAACTTTACATTCTGCTTTTCAAATCCTGTTTACGTCATGAAGACCAGCTAACACACAGTGTGCCAAAAGAAAAATTTTGCCAAACAACACCATTAGCCAACTGATCAATTTGCAACTGTCAAAGGATCTTTAATATGCACAGCCTGTACCAACAAATATCCCAACCCTAGACTATTTTCATGTCAACCCCTAATGAAAAAGCAAATGTGGTCAACACTGTAATAAACCAACAACACATTTGTATTTAAAACTATAATAAATACAAAAACCTTTTTATTTTACTATACAAACTTAACAAAATATCAATATAAATAACACACTAATCACAAAAACAAAACCTGGCTATTACTACTAGAAATATTCGTAAAAAATTTTCATCATTCACATTAATTTACATTTTCATGTTTTATTAATAAAATCAATACATACATAACAATGCAATAAAAACAATACCCCTACATATCACAACTTTAAAAAAATAGTTAATATATAAAACCAAACAATATTTCCAGTATTCAACAGAATAATAAACACTAAAATATATATATATATTATAACTTTTTTGTTTGTTTCAGAATACTTTTTTAATTAGTATTTCCCAAACCAGTAAAAACAAGATTCTCATTCTCATCATTTTTATCATAACCATTTTAAATAAGATTTACACTATATCATCCTTTGATTCTAAACAACAATGCAACAATAAACAAACAATAAATTGCACACATATATATTTTCATGCAGAAATTCCAAATCAAATGTTTTTTTGCATAATTTTACTATGGACATAACCAAAATAATGTCTCAATAACCCATTTACTGATATAAAATTGTAAACAGATCTTCTAATCTTTATAACTCCAATACCTAATCTGTCCTTATTGCAATTCCACTCAAACAAACACATTTTTAACATCACTACAAAATTAAAAATATCATTCCCTCTGGTAACAACATAAAACTAATTACTTTTAATGCTTTGCAAAAACCATTAACATCACAATACACATTAAAATAGAGCAAATTGTTGGAGGTCCCCAATAAACATAAAAAACTGATAAAACCTCTTTACAATATACGTACATACATAACAATGCAATAAAACAATACACCTCAAATCACAACTTAAAATAACAACAAACCATTCAAACTTTACAAAATAACATAACATCAACCATCTAAACAAAGTCATCAAATAACTAAAAAACTTAACAAAATATATAAATGTTTACCACTACTCAAAATATAACATCATTAAACAAAACCATTCCAATTTTCATTTCAACATCTGTGTTTCTAACAATTCCAGTAAAATTAACGTGTATTATAACATCACTACAGAAGAAACTGCATACTATCAATAGTGACTTCCTTGCTCCCCTCTAATGACATCATAAAACATGTTAGTTCTAGTCCAACTGCAAGAACCACAAACATCAAAGTGCTAATTGAACTTATCAGTGTCCCTGATACACTAAAAAGTTTACATACATCTTCACAATCCCTTTACGTTGATCTTTTGTCAAATAAATGTTTCTAAAAAGATATTTCCTTTACATTGGAACCATCCATAACTATGTTCATTTTCCCACTTTGTTGAATAAGGAATTCTTCCAATCCTTTACAATCCTTCATGAATTGCTCTTTTTTCATTTTTTTCATCATTTCATTCATAACAAAATCATAAATTGTTAATTTATGATTTTTGCCATTTTCATCAGTCCCATCAACTCTGGTTGTCATTGCCGTGTTTAGTTTGACTGTTTTTGTCAGCATGTCACATTTTACACATCGCACTGTCACTGCATGTTTAATCATTCCATGCTCATAACTGTTTGCGCATATAGGACACTTAATTTTTAAATCACATTTTACACCAATTATATCCATATGCATCAATGTTTCATCATTATCATTTTTCCCCACATCATACAAATTGCCAACTAAATCATATTCTATCTCCTCTATGCAAGTTTGCTTTCTAACAGTTATTTTTTTAACATTGTTTACGTTCCTTAACGCAACATTCTTTAACCTGTAATTTTTACCTATTTCCATTTGATCTATCAAATCTCCATAAACGGAAACATTAACTTTGTATCTTCCATCACTCAAAACAACATTTTGACAGTTCTTCTTACATCCGTAAAGCATAACTTCCATTGTCTTCCCCACATTTATTATTTTTCCTGAAATCGAATACTGAAAAAAAATTTTTTTAATCAATATTCCATATTTATACCAACCATCAAACATTGAATAAACTTTATATTAAAGAAACATTGACTACTTAATTCTAAACATATCATCATAATGTGCCATTATCAATTTGAAATAATTTACTCCTAATGATATGCATATGTCTTATAATTTAAATCTTACATCTTTTATCCATAATTTCTTAATATCTTTAGTATCATTAATATGATCTTCATACATAATGTTTGTCTATTTTTTCAACTCTGTGCATGACTAATCCAAATGCCTATATCATGAATCTTTTCATCCAAAATCTAATACTATTTAATTATAATCGACTAACTTTGAACTTGTTAAAATATAACAGTTCATCAAAACCCCAATCTAAACCCTGCATACAAATTTGAATATTCAAATAAGCATCCATGTCCACAATACGTATCAAACCACAATGCATATCAAAGTACAATTAAGTCAACAAAAAACTCACATAAGCACAAACATCTACTGGTTTTGTCGACAAATCTTCTACACTTATATCTATCACTTCCTCATCTTCTTTCAACTGCTCTCTTTTCTCAAAACAGGCTCTTTCAACACAATTAGTTACTGATCCCATAAAATTCATAAATAATTTCTTTTTTCTATTTTCAACCTGACATCTACAATCATACAAATAAATCATTACTTGTAATTCTTTAAATTCTATGTAAAACATAACAACATCCATGGGTGATTATACAATCACACATTGTCAAATTCCATCAAATTCATCTGCCAATTAATCCATAATTCACATTCAAACACAATAATATACCAGCAAAACTTTTGAACTGAATAAATCATTAACTTATTACATACCTCACATTTTTTACAACAACACAAGTATCTTCTCGTTCTGCCTTTTTAAAAAATCGGAATTTATCCGCATTTAAACAAACCATATCCACAACTTCTCTCTCTGTTTGCACCAAACAACTAAAATATGTGTTATTCTTTTGACTTATTTTAACAGGCGACACATTATGAATATATCCTGTAACTTCGATCAATTCAGCCTCATCCATTTTCAGTCTTTTCTCTTCAATTCCTTCTTCAACCATTTTGTCTTTAATAAAAAATTGCATATACTTAAAAGATTGCAAAAAACACCAAAATTGTTATACAGTCAAGTAACCTAATTTCGTGGAAACATATTATTCGAAGAAGTTAATTATACCACCCGGTATCCATTCAACGTGTTTTTCTAGACTTATTTATAAATCAAACATTGTCACGAAAATAGGTAACGCATTCTGCCGCCGTTGCCAAGTTGGTTGCTCATAAAATATGCGTCAAAGTGAAGAATTCATAAAGAAAATCGAAATAAACCAATTTTAATTATTTGTATAATATCTGAGGAAACATCTAAGACATAAAAAAAAATTTCAGTTTTTTTTAACCTTGACGAATTCGGTGTTGAATCCTTATATCCACGAAAATAGGTTACAACACTGAAATTCTCAAATCTAGTCATAAATATCAATTAAGTCCCTCACATATATTTAAAAATATTACGCTAAATCTGATTTTGTTCTTAAATACAATGTATAAACAAATAAAATGCTCAAACCTGCTAAATCTATCTGTCACTGGAATTCTAATAATTGCAGACAACGTCTATTACACTTCTCTCCTCCTCAAAAATCATCTGCGCAATAAACTTTTATTTGGCGGGAACAAATAAACACGTGACAACATACTGTCCAAGAACAGTGTTAACCAAAAATTATTTGCCACTTAAGTTTCCTAAAAAACAAACAATATAAATCATAACCTATGTTTTGCAAAAGGAACCTAATCCACCTACAACGTTTATTCTTTCGGATTCCTATACTGATCTTTGCACTCTTTCCAGCAATATATAACAATGTTTTAAAATGTAAAATTACCTTTCTTGAAATTTTCACGTTGACCCCCACCTTCCTGAGCTTAGTTCACAAAAGTTGCAGCACCCATTCAACGAACCTTAAATATAGGCGACAATGTGCATAACCATATTTTGGATTTTTTTTTGCAAAATTACAATCGTTTTTTAAAGCAAAATTGAAATTCGTTTTTTTTTTACAATATTTGCGACTTTTTGAGCTTAGTGTATGTATATGTTATGATCTATTTGATGTAGAACCTTGATATTTGGAATATAACTAGACACTTTGAATATGAATTCACCTACAACAAAAAAACTTATGTGGGCGTGGCACATCCGGGTTGAATTACTTATTGTTTACATTTAGAGGCAGGGGCATAACTCGCATAAGATGCGTTTGTTCAAAAAGAGACCTTGCACACAATTACCTCATCCTTTTGGCCAGTATGTATTAACAGCTCAATTGTTTCAGCTTTATAGTTTCAAAAAAGAAACAGGTTTTAACATTTGGATATTTTTATTTTTCGATTTTGACCTTTGTTGACTTTTGTTGACCTATATCTTTTGATCTCTATTGTGTAGCAACTTGACATTTGAAACATAACGTAACATTTTGAATATTGATTAACTTATTCAAAAAAAATTGAGTTGGGCGTGGCACTTCCGATTTAAATTACTCATTATTGACATTTTTGGCCAGGGGCATAACTCGCGAAGTATACGTTTGTTCAAAATGGAACTTATTACACACTTACCTCATATTGTGAGCCACTTTGTCTTAGAATTTTGGTTGTTTCCGCTTCATAGTTCAAAAAAAAGGAACAAGTTTTAGAAATTCAAAATTTTCAATTTTTGACCTTGACCTTTGTTGACCTTGACCTTTGTAGGATCAAACGTCATTGGCATTGGCTATCTATTTATACTTTTATATTTGCTGTCCTATGTCAACTTCCGGTTTTATAGTCGTTAACAATTTGAAATTTTAATGGCGTATATCTCTTGATCTTGACCTTTTTAGGCCTTCTCCTTTACAAGATCAAAGGTCATTGACCTTGACTATCTGCTGATACTTTCATTTGTAAGGTCTGACGTCCCCTTCCAATATTAAAATCTTCTAAAAAATGAAAATTACTCAACTTTACACTGTTCTTGCGCTTGATCTAATTATCGTGGAAGGTTGATTTTTTCAGGGTCTTTTGCATTTTGCTACATTTGCAAAGTCCCACTCTGTGCCACGTGTGGCTCTAGTTGTGGGACTTTGCTACCGCAAAGTCCCAGTTTGTTATCGAAATGTCAATTCTTTTTTTTTTTTTTTTTTTTCGATTTTTACACACCTTCCTGAGCTTAGACTACAATAGTTGCAGCAACCTTTCAACGTTCACGAACCTTAGATATAGGCGACGATGTGCATAAATATATTTTGGATCTTTTTTGCAAAACCGGAAGTGCCACAGTTCAATATGTGCAAGAATAGATAATCGGCTCTAGAAGTCGTATTTTTGGGTTGATTTTCTTTGGGTTTGCATTTTTGGAATCTACTGTTAAAATCTGAAAGAATAGCAGTTTCAAAATTTCAAAATTCGAAAATTTGTCGCAGACATTTTTTTTGCCAAATTTTGCATTTTTTTCATTTTTTTTGCTTTTTGTCTGATTAATCTGAAAAAAATTGAGCAAAGACAGTTTAAGAAAGTA